CATTGAAAATGATGGATTTCCTGATCAGACATATGATGCATGGACTGTTCACGGCGTAAGTGCTTACTGTGGTTGTTTATGGCTTGCTGCGCTCCAATCTGCTGCTGCAATGGCCCAGCAGGTAGGCGACAAGTTCTTTGCCAAAACGTGCAAAAGTAAATTTTTTAGTGCAAATCAACATTTGAAAAGAAACTACATTCCTCATCCTTTGACTTATCTTCATCACGGATTCCCTCGCCACTACCCTAGGCTTTCAACTTTGCCTTGGAAGTCTTGTTCTTCTTGACTCCAAATTCTCTGATGGATTAGGCGATTGTCAAGTCTTTAGACAACTCCTTGACTTCCCTTCGCTCCAACACTTTCTTCGTCTATGACTTCAATCCGAATATGAATGTGAAGAACACATATTCTTCAGTCAAACTCGAGACTCTGAGCATGAGCTTTCTGAATCGACTCACATACTCCTTAAGTGTTCCTTTATGCTTGATACGCCTCAACTTGGACCACGCCTCAATCCTGACATATTGTGAGCGAACTTGCTCACTCTCCACCCTCAGTTTGACAGTTTTATCTTTCGCTATCGCATTTGGTCTCTTCCTATGCTTGACTGCTTTAACACCTGCAATCTCATCACATCTCGATCCTGGATTAACTACTTTGGAACTTGTAGTCGTACCACCTTCTGGCCTAGCAGCATTGACATCTGCAATGACGCCGAGTCTCTTTTTGGGTTTGGTTGACTTAACATCTGAAGTCGCACCTTGTCTTTCTCTTGGCTTGTCCGTATTGGCACTCGCAATCGATCCAAGTCTTTTTCTTGGCTTGGATGTTTTCTCACTTGTAGTTGCACCATTTCCTTTCTTGACGGTATTGACACTCGCAATCGCGCTAAGTCTTGATACTCCTCCTTCTAGCTTGTTTATTCCCCTGATAATGGCAGTAAGGTGACTCTTCTCAAGATATCCTCTAATCAAATGAGGATCATCATAGAAGTAGCACTTCAACTTTTCCTTGCTTACTTTTTTCTTCACACCGAACTTAGCCTTGTCATTCTTTCCCGATGGATTTCCTTGGCTCGAATAGTCGATGGCTCACATTGGCCATTCAAAGAGATTCCTTTATCATCTCTTAGCTACACCTCTTCCCGGCCTCCCTCACTATTGCCACTATTCCTAGGCATGGACCTGGATGACACAAAGCTAGTTGGCTTGTCTCCCGTAAGTTCGGTCAGCTTTTCGGTTACAGCTATGGCATCCAAAAGTCTCTGGGCATTTCCTTGCTCTCTCCCGAGCATCATCCCTGGTCTGAGTCCCTCCAAGAAGGTCTTGAGCACGCCCCATTCACTCATTTCTCCTTCGCATATGAGCAGCTCCTTCTTGAGCTCATCCACCTCGTTTCTCAAAGCTATCACCTCGGCTTCATGAGTATTACTCCCTCGATTCATCTCCAACTCGTTGAGAAACTGTTGTGTCTCGTCCTTAAACTTGTCCTCCATGGACTCCATTTTGTCAAGACAGGATTCCACAACACCCTAGGTCTTCTTGGTCTCTTCCTCAGCTTTTTCAAGTCTTATGACCCTCATTTCCAACGAAGTTGAGATCTCCTCCTTCTCCTTGCTTAGAGCCAACATCTCGACCCTAATAGAATCACATACTTGAGTCATCTTCTCTTCGAGCTGATTAAGAATCTCTTGAACAACGTCCTTGATCGAGTACAAAGACTCTTCCAAACTAGTGACCCTCTTTTCTGTTGAAGAACCAGTATCCCTTAGATAACCTATCCAAGATTTACAATCATTACATCGACCATACAAATCCTCAATGGGTTATGTCCACTTTTGTTTTCCACTATGACTCTCCATGCCTTTTCGTGTGGAAACTCCTCTTTTACTTCCCATCTCAAACACTTCTTTGCCACTAACTAATTCAATCATCCTTGATTAGCTCGAATACAAATCCTTGTCAACTTGGCTACAAAAGCAAATTGACTTAACAATAAGTAAACTTAACTTACTCGATTTACCACCTTCCACCAAACATGGACAAAACGATCGTTGTCTGCCCACAACAACTCGCTCTGATACCATTTGTCACGTCCTCATAACCTTCAAGCCCACACTGTCGTAATATCAAAGTTAAGGTTTGACGGAACGTGCGACCTTAGAAGCTTCTAGAATGCGGAAGCTTTAACACTAACGTGGCTACTCCAAGCCATCAAAATTGGACAATGGTGTGGAAGTGCAAACACAAATGTGACTACTCCTAGCCACCAAAGAGACAACAAGCACAAAGAGAATAAAGAACACAAGAATTAGAGTAAATACCTCAGAGTTTTATTACTCTCTCCCAAGAGAATGGATGGATGAATGAATGAATGAATACAAATGAGCATGTGATGCTCTCTATTTATAGTTGAGCTCCCTCTCAATCAATGGCCTAGATCGATTTATATCAACAACTAAGATCTGCCCAATCAATACAAGATCCCCTAAATCAAGAAAACCCAACTCAATCCTATCTAATTACATCTATTAGTAGGATTATTTTCTTGGATAGTTGTTCACACTGGATATAGTAAGATTTCCCCACAATATCTTCTTGATTTGTTGTCTCTTGCCATATTTATCGTAATCATCTTCGAATATGATGTCACTTTCTTTTTATGCACAGCAAATGTGAACGGGCTTCACAGCATCCTCCAAGTGGTGGGCCAAGTCTGGTGGCCTTGGCAATCCCACACTCTGCATAGAACTTCTTTAGCATACACTTTCGCCAATGTCCCAGACCCAAATATCACGGCCCGTGACAATTTCTTCAGTCTACAGGTTCAAAAAGGTAAAATCTAATAAGAATAACAATAATGGCTATGATAATAAATAAAATATGGAACACGTGGATACTACAAAGCACCTTTTTTTGTAAAAGCTTTTTCCAATTGAAATCAAGTTTCTCGTTCACCTCCAATCCATAATTTCGAGCATCCTAAACAGGAAAGAAAAATACACTTATCAAACTTGAAACCAATTGGCGTGTCAGAAACCTTAGAGTACTTCATGTCCAATAAAACATAACAAATGTTTAAAGAAAGAATGTAACACCAAAAGGCTGAGAAAGATCAACAAAACAACTAAATCAGAACAATTAACAACAATGTAACATGGTTTGCATGATGAAGTTTCTACTTTTTCAGTCCCATCTTTATTTCTTAAACAAAATGAGAATTAGAGCAATATCAAGACAGAACGGAATTATCATGAGGATTGGTGCAACAGTATATATTATTCCCAGTTGGAGAGGTCCATAGCCTGCAGAAATGTAGTCAAAGGGTCAACTTATATGCTATAAAACAAAACTAAGTTCATAGATATATGAGCATTCTGATGATTTGGAAGGCCAAAAGCCAAAATTCATAATGTTCTCCAGCCATCACTTATGAAGTTACTGAAAAAAATCATCGAATAGGCTTAGACGCTTGAATCTCGTATGATTGATAATCAAACCTCTTGATGTACCAAGATAGTCAAAAAGACAGAATTTAATACTACTAAGGTTCAAGTTATTAGTTTCCATATTTACAATTTCTGGCCAAATTAAAAAGACATCCAAAATCTCTCGATGCTGAAAATTCGTCATAAACTATAAATTAAAATTTAACTGATTGAACTAGAGGAAAAATAAATTAATTAAACAAAAACCTGAACACCATCGACGGAGGATTGAGAGCGAAAAAATTGATGATTTGAACTATCGAGGAAGTAAATGGATCCAGTAGAATCAGCCTAGGATAATGAAATCATAAAAAATAAAACCGAATCACATAAATGAATTAATTACAAGCAGATCTAAATTATATTCAAAGAAATTAAAAGAGAAAGAGAACGAACAGTAGGAAAAGCGAAGAAATGCAATGATATTAAGAAAACAGAGAAAATCTTCATTGTGACAGAAGGAATGGTAATGAGAAAAGGAAGAGAGTACGATCTGTGTGGTGGTTTCGCGATCACGGGACAGGGAAGGAAGGAAGGAAGGAAGGAAGGAGGGACGAAATTAAACAAGGAAGAGGACGAGCTAGCCATTTTCGGTTTTGATCTTCAAAACTGAAGTTGTTTGCTTTGAGGAAATGATTGGGTTGGGCTTTTCTTGGGCCAAAATTTGAAAAAGTTTGTTTAATTGAAGTCTAAAACATGCACATTATATTAGTAGTACATGATTAACTTAAAGGTAAACTACACTAATCATTAATTTTTTAGGATGCTTTTACTTTGATCATTAAATTTTTTTAAAAAAATTATTGGAGTTCTGATCATTAAGAAATATTTTCATTCGGACAATTGGGTCGTTAAATCACTAACATAGTTGATGTGATACACTAAATTTTTTTTAAAAATCTTACCGGTCATTCTCCTATTTTCACTGTCATTTCTCTCGTTATTCGATCATTCTATCTTTTTTTCCTCGTCTCTGCAGTACTCGATCTAGATTATTGGATCACTCAATCGAATATCGATGATTATAAAAAATTGTTATTGAAATTATTTTCTATATGCTCCTATTTAGTACTTGTAATGATATTGTTGTTCATACAAATTATAAAGATTAAGAGCTCATACACGCTTTTTGGGATTTAAGATTAATGTAGCTGAAACAATGATATTTTTTATATTTTAATTTAATTTTGAAGTTGTTTTGGAAGGTTCGTAAGTAAATGTAGATTAAACTTGTGGTGTACTAATAAAATATATCATTTTAGCTTTGATTAACATAAAATTATGAAATCGACATTAAGTTTCGAGATTAATTTCAAACAACTCTTCTTTATTAAAAAAAAAGGGAAAGAATCCTAATTCCAAACCGGATAAGCCTAATAGAATCTATACCATGCAATTTCTCTTTTACTTGCAAAATTTATGTTTTTGTGATGGTATCATGATGGAAAATTAACATTCTTTATTTTTTTTTAAAAAATCCAAGATTGAGAGGAAAGAAAAGTATTGTAGCTGCCAAGAGGATAACCCTATCTTCACCCCATTAATCATACTCAAAATGGCAACCATCGTAGCCTGTTCGTACAACAAAATCAATCGACCAAAATTAGTAAGATGTTGAACAAACGATATACAATCATATCACTTTGTTGTCATTAAGCATGAAATAATTATGTAACTTTTTTTAGTGTAAATTGCACGTAAACTATCTGTTTTAGTACTTAAATTCTCAATTTTTTCAAAATCATACCTAAAGTTTAGTTTTCGTATAATTTTTGTACCTCTGTTCAAAATTAAACGTTAAATTTTGAAAACAAATAATAGTTTAGGTACTAAACAAGTTAAATTTTTAACAGTAGGGTACTAAAATGAAATAAAAACTAAGCATTAGGTATAATTTTTAAAAAATTAAAAGTTTAGGTACTAAATGCGTAGTTTGCCCCCTAATTGTTATAAGATAAATTGAGTGACTAGATTGTTACTTTTTCAAATATGATCACCAAATTATAAACTCGCTAATAATACAATGACCATTTAAGAAAAATCATTCGAAAAACTTACTTGGATCAATTACGACAAGTATGGCAGTGCCTCCAAATTCACATGTACCACCACCAGATTTGGTTCTTTGCCAGTAGCTATTAAAAGCATAAGAAGCATGTGCATATAACGTGTCCGGGTGAAAGCATGAGCCATTTGGTTGAATCGGATCACAATCCGCTCCGGTCCCACACGCATAGTTCATAGCTTCTTGGATAATCGGGTCAGGCACCGACGGCTTAGCCACACACCATAAGGCCGTGGCCGGAGCCACATTGGGAGTCGGTGGAACCGTCGGTGGAGGGTACACTATCGGTGGTAGAAAAACTGGTGGGCTTGGATCAAACCCGATTGGAGATGGGATATAGACTGGTGGGCTCATGACACCGGCCGGTGGACTGGGCTCGTAAAAGGGTGGGCTGAATACAGATCCCGATGGGCTTGGGATGTAAGTTGTTGTAGGTGTTGTTTGTGGTGTGCTCGGGGTGGTCGAGAATTCGGGTGGGCTCGGAACAGTCCCGTATGAGCCTTCCGGTGGGCCTAGACCCGGAGGAGAATTGGGTAGAGAATCAAAAGGTGGCAAAGAAAGGGGTGAGCTTACACCATATGGTTGAGTATTGGAAGCATCAGTGGGTTGTTCTATCACTAAACTCATGAGTTTACTCATTAGCTGCAATTTCTTTGTACTTCTTCCATGTTTTGGATCTTTGACTACCTCCATTGATTTTCTTGCATCTATCAATACCAAAAAAACAAAGAGATTTACAATTAATCATCTTAATGCAAAGAGACTCCATTGATTTTCTTGCATCTATCAATACCAGCAGAAACTTAATGGCAAAGGAAACTCATATATTCTATATCCAGGTAACCTTTTGACTTGCCATCACACCAAAGAATCAAGAGTTGATGGCACATCAGCAAAAACATTTGATTAAAATAAATAAGTCATAACGTCAAGGAATATTTCCTTAACGTTTGATTAAATAATTATTTCGATTTATATTTGTTGAAGTATTTTGACTCGCGAAGCTTTATTTTAAAAAAAATCATAACATTACTAAATAGTCATTTTAACTCTTATTCTTTTTGAAGTATTGTGGTTCCAATGTATCATTTTAAGGTAAAAAGACCCCTATTTGACCGTTTGTTGGTTAATTATTTTCATCCACGAAAAAAATATTTTTACCCTAAAATAAAACCTTGAGAGACAAAATGCTTAAAAAAAATAGGGATCAAAGTGATTTTTTTAATAAAAATTAATTTTTTTTATCACTACCAATAAATAAACAAAAGTTGATGGCACATCAGCAAAAACAATTGATTAAAATAAATAAGGCATAATGTCAAGGAATGCCTTAACAATAATTATTTTGATTTATATTTGTTGAAGTATTTCGACTTGTGAAGCTTCATTTTAGAATAACAAGTCCCTAACATTTGACTAAATAGTTACTTTAACTCTTAATTTTTTTTGAAGTATTTTGGCTCCAAAAGATCATTTTAAGGTGAAAATACCCTTTGGAACGTTGATCGTTTGTTGGTTAACGGTTTTCATCCACGAAAAAACATTTTTACCCCAAAATAAAACCTTAGGAGGTAAAATGCTAAAAAAATAGGGGTCAAAGTGATTTTTTAGTAAAATGTTAGGCTTTTTTTGTCATTATACCAATAAATAAACAAAAGTTGATAGAAACCGAACTCTTAATGTTGAAGAAATTTCACACTTCCATTATTGCATTCCATGTAATCCAGTTTGCATTAAGAACATGAAAATTTTGATGTGGAAACGATTAAAATAACAAAATGATAATCTTATTTATATGTATATATAATCTACCAAAAACAGTGTGGCAGAGGCGAGATTACCGCAGTGAATGAACAAAGTGGCTGCCATTGTTGAATAAACAAGGAGCATGCAAAACCTGATTTCCATGAACGAGCTTCAGCAATGAAGAAACAAATATTATGAATAAAAAAAGGAACCCTCAAAGGCTAAGCTGTTTAAAGGGAAGAAGAGAGACGTATTTAAAGGCAAGGAAAGGAGACAAGTGACTTGGTTAGCCATTAAAGGTGTGATTCCGGAGGTGCTCTCAGAAATGTAAATTTGAAGAGAGAGTGTGTAAAAGGTTTAACTACGCGGTCCGTTATTGGAATAGATATCGTTATATATTGGTAAAAGTGTTGTCTGAAATTGTTATTACAATATCATAATATCCGTAATGATCGTAATTGTACCCGTTTTATCTGCAATCTCGATAAACGTAACTGAAAATACGATGGTAATCGTAATTTAAATCGTTGGATATAACAAAAGATGATTTTAATAAATGTTGGTGATCATTGATCTGGGTTAAAGAAATCATTTCCATTTTTAATGTTGCTCATGCAAGGCATATATGCTTGCTTCACATCGGAAGATAATTAAAGTTAGGTTTTTTGTTTCCCTTTTGTGTTGCTTGCTTTCTACTCAAAGCTCTCACTTTCTCCTTCTTTCTCCCGATCAAATCACTTGGTTTTTGCTTTTATTGGAATATTTGTGCATGATGGAGGGAAAACTCTTCGAGTTTGATTAAACAAAATCAAGCAGAGCTTTTTATTCGGTACAAGTTATTGTCGGAGAAGGAATTTACTGAGGTAAACCTTCACACTTCAGTCTTGGAAAACTTCTAATGCAACGATATAGAAATATTCATCCCTTTTAACATAAGCAAATATTGATGGTAGATATCCAGTCAAGTCCCAAAACCGACAAATCTGTTGTAAATGGAAAAGGCCGCACAAAAATTTGATTAAGATCAATGTGGATGGGGCCTTTTCGGATTCAACCAATACTGCTGCCATTGGGGTAGTATCTAGAGATCATAATGGTAAGGTCTTAGGGGGGAATGTGCAGATAAATTGACCCTCCCTTCACAACGGAGTCAACCGGGGTCATAGCAATCACACATGGAATTAATTTTGCCATTGAAAATGATTGGGTAAACGATGTCGTTGAAGGAGACACAATTAATATAATAAACAGACAGGTCAATCAGAAGCAGGATGTCTCAACCATTGGATTGCTACTCAACAAAACCCAAGCGAAGCTGAAGGAGTTCAAAGATATAAAAAAAATTCTATGTTAATAGTGAGGCAAATCGTGTAGCTCACACACTTGCACAACGGGCATTGTCGAATCCCAATCTGTATTGGGTTTTCTATAACGAACCGAATTGTATTAAGTCTGTAATCATTCTTGAAACCATTTGAATATAATTCAATCCACCTTTAAAAAAAACCCTATAAAAAGTTTTGAAACCATTTTTCATAACATTCTTTAAAAGTTTCAAAATCCTCTGAGTAGGTAAACATTAAATGTGTGAATTAAAGGCTTTCAATGGTTTTAAACCTTCTCCAACAACCTCAAAAAGTTGGAAAATCTTAAGAGCGTATAAAAGAAGCCTTGTAACAACCCAGCAATAACAAGAAAACCATTTCAAACATCCAAGAGCTAAAATTCCAATATGTGCTCAATTTCTTTCTTTCTTTCACATTGAACAATAGCTTGTTCCTTATTGTAGTTTTTTTTATAGTGTTTTTGGGTGAGCGTAAGCTTTTATAGTGCAAACATATTACCTTGTGAAAGTTTATTCTTAATTTGCTCATTCATTTTATCTTTGAAAATAGTGTGTATTCTTAAGATTTTTTGTGTAAATATCAACTGGTTTGTAAGGTTATACATTGTCCTCAAACGTTGATAAAATTAACAAATTTGAGAAAATCTTTAGTTAATTTTTCTTCATTCTTTGTAAAGAGCTTCCGCCAAATTTTTATTATCAATTCACATCCTTTTTGACCATATTCTTGATTGATTGACTCAATAAATTCTTACATTAATAAACTTAATAATTAAATAATCTTCAACTACTATAATTGTAATTAAACTTAATTTAATTACCAAATACAATTTAAGTAATCAATGTATAATAGTGTACATAATCTTTCTTTAATTGCTAAATTGAGTGGCGTTGTCCTTCTTTGAAATTAGGATATGATTAAAAAATTATGAATAAATGTCACTTTATAATCGTTTTAGAGTATTAGTATAACGTTTTATTTATTATATGAATTATTATATAGATAAATAATTACGAAAACTTCACCTAATAGTATAAAACAATCAAAATGAAACAGTAAGAAATGACGTATAAGAAACCTAACATATAAGAGTAGTAAATTGTCTCAGCTAACCAGTTTCATTCACTTAATGCAATGTCCGTATCCCAGCAAACACATTAACACCTTGCTTCACTAGTTTTCATTGTGAACTATTTCCCCATGGAAATAAATATTTTTTTTGGTAAATATACTAACAAATATTTTTTAGACAATATAAAAACAAGTGTTCAAACTATATTCGGCTAACTTTTGGTGTCTAAGTAATTTTTCGTTAAAAATATGTCCAAAGTTTTCTCCTTTACACTTTTATGTGTATACAATTAAAAAATCGTTAAGTGACACATGTCGGTAGACACCTAAAAGTGTAACGAATAAAACGCTTGATATATATTTTTAACAAAAAAATCTTTAGACACCAAAAATTAGTTTTAGATATAATTTGGACACTTATTTTTATATTAAGCCTATTTTTTAAATCTATTAAATTATAAAAAAAATTATATTTTTCTTCAAAATGTATTATTAAAAATCTATTTTATTATCTCCTTAAAATAAAAATGAATTTTTTAAATGTGTTTCTTCAATAAAAAATTATTTTAAATGTATTAAATTATAAAATAAAATCTATTTTACTATCCCTTCTTCAAATTTGTTCATTTTATTAGAAAAATAAAAAAAATACTTAAAATTAAGTATCATGACAAACACCAAATTGGTGTTGGAAGACCCATTAGGCCAACATTTTATTTGTTTTAGAAATCAGTTAACTGTTGCTGATAAAAAAAAGTTTTATGGTCAAAATTTGAATTTGGCAAATTTTATGTTCTAAAATAGATTTTGAAAATTAAATTTTACGCTTTTGGAATTAAATTTGATTTTATTTAAATTATTTTTATTAAATTTAAAAATTCAAATCAATTTTTTTTTTTAAATTCAGGCTCCAAACATAGCAGTAGAATATGTGTAATCCAAACATAAGTAAGGAGATCAAAGGTATTTTTTGAACATTCTTAGGTAATTACAAATTATTTAGAGTTTTTGTGGTTTATTGACAACGTACATGTACCATGTAAACGTAACTTTTCGAACATAAATCTTATAAAAAATAATATTTTTTTATCATTAATACTTCTCAATAAATTTTAAAATTAAATTATTTAAAACATATAATGACCAATTGGACCCAAAGATAAACAATAATTGTGAGATATAAAAAATGAGATCCAAAATTATAATATCCTATTTTAAAAAATTGGGTATGCAAATTATCCAACAGTAAATAAATATGAGGTTTGATGCCATTAGTTTATCCACATTAAATGCACTCTTCCTTTTTATTCGATATTTGACTGCTTGTATATATATTCAGTTAAGCAAAAAAAGCAGATTATATATTTTTACTCTTAATTTGCGTATGCATGCATGCATGCATGCGGTAATACTAAAGAAATAAAATAAGAGGTTTTACAAATAAAAACCCTAATTTATATTTGATATATCCTATAAGCATTAATGACATTCAGGCAAACAACTTATCCTTAATATAACATTTCATTAAACAAAAGAAGAGGGAAAATTTCATAAACAGAAAGTTGGATATTTGGAGTGAAACGAGTATGCTTTCAAGTACACGATTAGTGTCCACCATCAGCACCAGATCCGCCGTCAAGTCCAACGCCCCCACCTCCACCAGCACCAAAGCCACCTCCAAATCCTCCACCCACTCCACCACCACCCCCAAATCCTCCTCCACCTCCAGCACCACCACCGAGGCCTCCACCAACACCTGCACCACCTCCCAAACCGCCACCAGCTCCACCACCTAATCCGCCTCCACCTCCTGCACCTCCACCAAGTCCTCCACCACCACCCAATCCACCTCCTGCACCTCCACCAAGCCCGTGGCCACCACCAAGTCCTCCACCACCACCCAATCCACCTCCTGCACCTCCACCAAGCCCGTGGCCACCACCAAGTCCTCCACCACCTCCCAATCCACCTCCAGCACCTCCACCAAGCCCATGGCCACCACCTAGTCCTCCACCACCTCCTAGTCCACCTCCTGCACCTCCACCAAGTCCATGGCCACTACCCAATCCCCCGCCACCTCCTAGTCCACCTCCTGCACCTCCACCAAGTCCATGTCCACCACCCAATCCCCCGCCACCTCCTAGCCCACCTCCTGCACCTCCACCAAGTCCATGTCCACCACCAAGCCCTCCAGCCCCACCTAATCCACCTCCTGCACCTCCACCAAGCCCATGGCCACCACCCAATCCACCTCCTGCACCCCCACCAAGACCACCTCCACCACCTAATCCTCCTCCTGCACCACCACCGCCACCTAGGCCTCCGCCTCCCCCAAGGCCACCTCCACCACCAAAGCCACCACCACCACCTAGGCCTCCTCCTCCACCTAAACCTCCACCACCACCAAAACCACCACCCAGACCACCACCAATTCCATGCCTAAAACCCCCTCCCTTGGCCTTAAACAAAAATGGACGACGAAGCAAAACCCTTTTCATCATTAACTCCACCGACGCCATGATCACACACCACAAAACGATCCACAACAAGAGCACACAACAAAGCAATCAAAACAAAACGATTAAAACCACCCATTACTAATGCTACTGATAGCTAAAACCACACAGCGCAGCACTACAACAAGTAAGATATAAATAGCAGTAAACTAGTGTGTGTTAGCCATTAGCTGCGACAAAGATTTTAAAATACAAAAAAAAACCCAACTGTCACGCGCGTAAGAGTAAATGAGGCTATCTGTCAACGGATAAGCCATTTATTCGGCCAACTGTCCCTTCCCAACCAATCAAAGACGCGCTCACCCTTGACATTGGATTTAAGGTGCGTTTGATTCACGGAATATAAGATTATCAGTGAAAATAAAATATTACCAGAAAATAGGATTACTGGGAATGTTATATTATTGTATTTGGTTGGTTTGGCAAGAATGTAAGATTACAATGTTTGGTTGAATGAATAAAAGATTACTGTAATGTATATTTTACCAAATTGTACTTGTTCTATATTTGTTAACAAGTTAAATTCTAAATGTTTAAATAAAAATTATTTATATAAAAATTTTATTTGTTGATAATATATTACTTGAGTATTTAAATATATCATGTATTATTTTAATTTTAATTAATATTAAATTTTACATAATTTATGTAAAAATATATTAAAATTTTACATCAACATTTAACTAAATATTTACATTGTGAAAACTAGCTTCGGTTCATACATGACGCATTCACTGGGAGGTTTCTTATATTTTCCAACCGACAAGGTTTACATTCTTCTATATACAATAATTTATCATAGATATTCATAATAATAAAAATATGTAAATTATTTTTGTTATCTAAGATATAATATTTATTATATCTTCTATATACAATAATTTATTTATTTATCTTTTATATTTATACTTAATTATGCATACTTTATCATTATTATTTATCTCATGAATTTATATTACAAAAACATAATTCTAATAAGTAAGAAAATATAACACTAAAAATCATATTGTCTATAATTTTATATTTCTTTATTCTCTTCCACTGCCGGTTAAATTTCCTCTAATTTGAAATAAATTATAGTAATTTAGAAGTATATTAAGCATGACATGTTGTTCCACATAAAGACAATTGCATAATATTCTCTCTTTTTAATCCAAATGAACCTGGATTTTTATATGAAAACCATAAAAATATGAGGTGGAGAGACGTATAACATAGGGTTCAATTTCCTTCCAAATGTCATGGAAATTTATATTATTCGATGGTTTAAGCCCAAGACGACATAATCCATACACAAAATTTCTCAAAAAGTGAATACTTATCGGAAGATAGAGTCCCTTCATATCTACTACCAGAGCATGCAAGGACATTTTATTGGACACCTGAAGGATCAGCTGCAGCACAAGGAAAAATTGCAGTATCTTATAAGTAATTCAAATTTCCCAACCAATCTAATACATGTCAAAAGAAATTTTCCCAAAGCGGGATCTTCACTAGGCAATTACCACGACCATGCGAAGAAGAGAGGAAAAGGATGTAGTGGAAGGTCATCAAAAGTGCAGCAAACTAGTTGTCCTAAAACATAATTAGCCATTAGGTACCTGCTTCGGATCCTTATAACTCAAGTGAAGAGGACTTAGGTAACCGGGTTCAAATGACAACATTTGGGAGTTAAATGGAACACAAAGCAAGAGTTTGGAGCAGGGCATTGCAACAGTCCTTCTACAATAGTCCCTAGTATTTTGAAGCAAGGGCACTGCAGTGACCCACTTGTTGTCAAAACTTCAATGCCTCAGCACTGCAGTACCCGTATCAAATGCTCCAGCCAACAATGGCATCTCTATCCCTAAATTTTCCAAATCTAAAAGTTCTATGTTTCCTAATTTGACATTATTTTTATCCTTTATTATTAAAATTATTTTTAACTGCCATGTCTTGTTATACCAGTATCCTAATGTTTTAGCAATCTTGTGTCCTTGTGTCTGTGTAGTCTTGCACCCATATTGTGTGTCCATGTTCAATCTATTACATTTGAATGCACAATTTTAATATATAGACTTAAGATGGCTACTACAATTATCATCATTCATCCAAGTAGTAAGGCTAGGGAAAAAATAGCTTACAAACATAATTTGACATTTACTTGAGCATTGTTACTGAGAGATCTCTGCAAGCATGAAGGCCAGCCAGAACTAAGGAACTCCCATTGCCTGTCAAACCAAGTTCAAGATCTTGCTCAATTGATTTTGGCTGCTCAACATCAGCTTCATGTGGCGACAAGGTGGTCAAGGATTTCAATGTTTCCTGGGACATTATGTTGCATGTAATTGTTTGGGGCACGTTTAATCTCTTTTTTCCTGATCTAACAGAAAAATGTGCAATATGTCAACAAGTGTAAGGCTTGTCAAAGTAGAGGTTCAATTAACTTGAAAGTGTAATTGTGACAATGAAATCCACGTAAATGTTAAAAAAATAAAGGAAGTTGACTCCCTAACATACCCAAGTTAAAAAAATAAAGTGTAATTGTGACAAAGAAATACCGTTCTATTGTTCCCTTCTATGTTGCCAAACTAAAACAGAAATGTGAAGTGAAACAGAATTTTGCTCAATTCAGATCAACCTCCTTTGAACCTTCCCCTAGTTCCTCCAAATTGTTGTTAGATCCTGGCTCTGTTTCATATCAACATAACTTATGTTACATAATTGACATTTATTGTCATCGAGAACCAAGAATCACATAATTTCAAATTCTAGAACTGGGTAGAGTCATCAAGATGGGCAAGGGAAAGGGAAATTGCATTGCCTGAACTCGAATCACAGTCCGACATATAATCGAGTTTTTGCAAACTATGCTAGTTGGAATACAAAATTCGGACTTCGGATAGAACCTAAAGCACATATTTATGCTAAATTTATGCATCTAAAAGCAAATATTGAAATTTGCATCAAGAAGCAACCTTTTCCGTAGATTATCATCCAAAAAAATCCATTTTTATATTGGAAGCCAACAATCTAAAAAATACAGAGAGCTAAAAGAGACCACTTGAATCAGCCCCCTCAATCAATTATTTTCTATGGACAAGAACCAAATAGAGAAGCAATAAAATCCCACAGAAATCAACGAAGCTACTAATAAAACTAAAAAAAATGATCCCATAGCGAAATATTCTCAAATTTATAGAAACTAAATGAGTTAGTTGAGATAATTTACTCAAAGAACTTAAAAGACAACCATGTATAACTTCAGTAAAATTTTCCAATCAACCAAACAAATGATGAAAACAACAAGAAATCAACCAATAAGCTTTAAAAACCGAATCCACAGATTTAACGACCTTTCATTTCGAACAACAAGGTTGAGGAGAAGAAAAGAAAGGTAAAGATAAAGTTTCTCTCATTGCTAGGAAAATAAAAGAAAGGGAGTGAAGAAGAAATCTTACCAATAGAATTTCAATGGAAAACGATGAATTTTTCGTAGAGGCAAACTCACGGGAGAAGAAGATATCGCAAAAACAAGCTCACGGGAAAAGAAGGGTATTTTAGCCCTTAGCACCGGGAATAATAAAATACCTAAGACATATTTGGGAATAATATTCCCGGAATAAACACACTAAAAATTACTGTTGGTATTAAATTATTAACCTCACTTGGGAATCTTACCCAACCAAACATGGGTATCCATGAAAAAAATATGTCTGTTGGGAATGAACAAATCATTGATTCAAACGGGTCCTTAGGGTTTTGACTTCTCTTTTCTTTATTTTTCTTATCCTAGAGTCAATCAACTTGTTTCAAATTTTGGGAGTGCAAGTTGAAATTCCAGGGAGTTTTACAAGTTCAAACTCTCAACTGTTGAGCAACTCCATCAATACTGTTTCTTCTTCTTCTTCTTTTATGCCATTAATGAATCTGCAGACAATGTGTCTCCGCCAGCAATGTTTAGTTGGTTTCGCGAGACTTATATGAGCTGATCGTTGCAATTTCATGATATACTTCCAGTTTTGTCCTTTTTTTTAGGAAAAAAGAATAAGTTGATTTTATCTATAAAAAATGATTAGAGGTGAGTAAAATTCGACTTGACTCGAAATAATCATTTTTTACTCAAATAGACATTAAAAAGCTCAATTCGACTTGAATTGTCTCAAAAAAATTCAAATTGCAGTTGAGTTGTAAAATAGAACTAGAATAACTCGAAATTTTTAGTAATTAATGGATTAATTTTTAAATTCGAGTTTAATACTTTAACTATCCATGATATATGTATATTGCATATGAAGAAATATATATTTATAGAAAAATCATTTAAATTGAAATCAAATAGTATTATAATATTTAAAATATTTACAATCAAATATTAAAATAAAAATTAAAATAAAAACTCGAACGATTCAACTCAACTCAAATTTCATAAACTCAAATCGAATCGAAAATTTTTTAAATAAAATTTGAGTTATAAGATAAGACCCATCAAGTAGAATGGTTCAAAATCTTTTACTCGAGTCAACTTGATCAAATACATATAAGATTCTTTGGTAATAATAGGGTTAGAAACAAAATCTTCATATAAGATTGAATGAATGTGAAAATGATCAAGTGAGTTTCTTTGGTAATAATAAATATATTATTTACGAAACCCTATCCATGCCTGATTTTGTCTATTCCATACATAATGCTCGAGTAATTCCCTTATACAATTACTTTACTGCGTTGATATTACTGGCACCCGTTTTAAAATATTCATTCGTGATTATTTTTGGCACATGATCTCAATATGAAAGACTTTCTAAGTCGTACTACAAACAACCTCTATAAATTATTATATTTTAATATCTTAAATTTGAACATAACATCTATAAAAATATATAAATTATTTATTATCGAATAGTTAAAATTTTTCCAAATATATACTGCCTTTTTAAATCCTATTTTTCCAATAATACACAATGTAACTGCAATTTGTTGAATTTAAAACAACTTAATCATTTTCTCCTTTCTTTTAACCT